TATCATTCTATCTATCTATCTATCTATCTATCTATCTATCTATCTATCTACCTATCTCTATCACCTACCTTCTTACTTACCTACCTGTTCCTTATAGTTCTGAGTTTATAGTTGAACTACTTAACTGACTAGAAGCTCTGCATTAGATTTTTCGCCAGCAGTATCCTATATGCTCTTTAATGTTTTTATTGACCCAGACATACATGAGCGTGCACATCTACATATTCGTACAGGCCTTCTTAATACTATGTATTGGTATTGAGTATATCCTCCTTTCCATTAAAGAGGCAAATCTTAGCCCTCCAGAGTTTCTTGTGAGGAATCATCTTTCTTTTAGGTGGTTATTGTAAGGAACACTACTGGAATTCTTAGCATTTGCCATGTACGTGCAAAATGGGTGTGCAGAGGTACCTTTACACTACCCAGCTTATAAACACATGCAGCAATGCCTAATACTGTCTTCTCATCAAGAGTCTTCAATTTGCTTGGATAAAACAGCATTTTGCTAGGCTTCTATTTAAAGATACGGCATATCTTTCCTTACATCCTTGGAAATTGCCCTTCCGACATTTGTACTTGACTCTGTGTGAGTAGCAATCTTCCTCCTAATGCATCACAAACCAGGCCGTCTTGAGTAGTTGCTAATTTTCTTTTTTTATCATTGACTCATTTGCTTTACCGCTTTCATCTCAGAGATGAAAAGGCCACCGTTCTTTGTACAGACTTTAACACGTCTCATTTTATCTCTATGAGTTTTCTCATTATCTGTCTTCTACCACCTGCTTCCAAACTCCTCAAAAGCTTACCCACAATACACATGTTCTTGTCCCCAAGACACAGTCAACTGTCTAGATATAGATGTTCAATGAATGATGCTGGTTAGGAAAAAAAATAATGAAGAAATGAGGGCAGGAGAGAGACAAAGAAAGAGAGAGGGAGGGCAGTGACATTTTAGCACAAGCTCCGGAGGCCGAAGCTCCTTCTTCATTTTCCCCTCTTGCCTTTGTGACAGTTTTGTAGCCTGTGGTAGAAAAATAGCCCCTCTGCTGGATCCGTAAGACAGCTCTTCTTTCTCAGCAGCTCTTTTTGAAAATTACAGGGCACTGCTTCCACCCCAGGATTGTTTGTTTTTGCATCAGTAGAGGCAGAGCCAGGACGCTGTGCCTTGCTACTCCGGTTTCTCACAATGAGGCAGGCTAGGAGGGCAGCGAAAATTTTAGGCACATGAGAAGAGAGAGTTGATCCTCACCCTGGAACTCAGTTGAATCACAATGAATAGCTTTTAAGGCCTTTCCCGCTTCCCTGCTGAAAGCATGGTTTTCTAGGACTCTCATCAGAAGCAGCATTTTCAGGGAAAGGACATGTCCTAAGCGCCTTGTGCAGGCCTAATGGCTTCAGGTCATCCCTTATCAGATTATGATCCCATTGCAGACATCTCCAGAGCCAGCTTACAATCTCACTTATCAAATGAGAAACAAGGGGAGTAGTTCATAGCAACCTTTTGAGACATAATTTAAGAGCTACCAAAACAGTACATATGGCTGATACTGAGACAGTTAATTGTGACTCTCCTCTGAGGAGCCTGCCCCACCATTGGGTCGGACTTGATCTTCCTCTCTCCCTTCGGAAACACGTATCCCCATTTGGGTTTGTCTGTCTTTATAAGCACCTTTCTTCTTACTGCTCATGCTTACACCCGTATTAAACTATCTTTAACAGGATCTCCAACTTTGCTTCATCATTTCCTGGCTATTCCTGAAATTCTTTTCAGTGTTTCAGCCACAAATCCTGGTTTGGCCTGAGTTGAGGTCCCTAAAAGTCTAGAACTCCTCAGGCCGCTGAGAGTAGCAAAACGGAGCCGTGCCTCTGTCCTCTCACCTCTGACAATGATATACCTCCTGTCCTACATCTACAAAGCTGATTCGAAATTTCCTCATCTCCTATGTTGGGACCATCACATTCAGAGAACACAATTGCCTTAGTATGTTTTATTTTCATACACTGTCTTATGAAACCACCGAGTACCTTAAAGTAGGGTGGAATATTTTTGCCCATTAATAGCAGTGAGAGATGAGGTCCAACTAACTAACTTGGATTCATTTTCTTATATGTCACAAAACTAGCACAGGGCTAAAGAGCTGCTAACTTCTGACATCATGCTGTGCTTACCCGTGACTGTACATTGTGGTTACCAGGGGCATTCGAGAAACCACCAGTGCCTGGTCCTACTCCCAGGGTCCCTGCTGGGTTGCTCTGGGTGTGCCCTTCATATTGGACTTTTTACAAGCTCCTTGGGTGGCTCAAATGAGCAGTCAGGCTGACAGGCATGGGGACGGAAGCAGGCTCTTGCATCGAAGGACATTTGGGAGACACTTGTCCTTACGGCTGCTCAAGGACTCAAAGAATGAAAAGTTTCCTGGGGTGAGAGCAAGCACCCCATGATGCTGGAGGCTGTTTAGTTTGCCTGCTGACAGCAAGCAAGCACCAGGAAGCTTATGCTCAGCGCTGCACAGCACACTGCTCTCAGGAATTCTTTTCCTCTAACATAAGCATTTCCGTATGGAGATCATATTCTGCAGTTAAAGGGCTGTTCCTACAACCATATGCATAGCATCGTTCTCTGCCAAACCTTTCATTTGACATTTTATAGTGATGGGTAGAGAACAGTCAGTCACTGGTACATTTCTCCATATGATTTCCAATGATTATGACTGAAAATGACACTTATTTCATAAATACATTGCTTATACTTCATCATTTGAATGTAAATCTCGTATTATGCTGAGATAATATGCTGTTGTATTATGAAAGGATAAGAGCAGGATTGGAAGAAAATGTAGAGTCAAGGGGTGTGGTCCAAGTTTCTGAACCCTATGACATATGCGCTTCAATGATTCCCATTTTATAAATGAAGCAACTGGGCCACAGAGAACAATAAACTCAACAATGTCACAGCTAGCACTTGGTGAGCAAGGACAAACCCTAGTAATGTGGGCCCCAGAATTTGCCATCTTTATGTGATATGTTTCCCCTGCATGTGTGACCTTAGCTAAATTTTCTGGCTTCTTCCAGTCTTGGTTTCTCTCCTGAAAAAAAGGGTTTTACAATGCCTAGCTCACAGGCAGACGTACTGCTATGTGAACATATATTAAGGTGTTCAATAAACATTGTATGGATAAATGAACAAAAGAATGATAAATTCGGGCTATTAAAGTATACTATATATGGACATAGTTTATTGAAAGTGGAAGCATGCACTTGCTACCATTACAGCATCAATAGCCATCACAGATTTGTGGCTCGAAGATACAGAAAAGAGTTAATATCCAAATCAAAATACAAGTACTCTATATTCATAGAGTATAAAGCTCTTAAAACCCACAAGAGATTTTAATAATCTTACCAGTGATAAGAATGTTATTGTAGAAATAAAGTTATTAGAAGTTTCTTTTTTATTCTGAATCATTGAAGACACATTCTGTAATCTAAAAGCTTCATCTTTATTAGCGCCAGGAAATTAGACCATTAAAAAAAAAGTGTTGGCCCTCACCCATCTGAACTACCAAAAGATGAAATGGCTAGCAGCACGTGTCAAGTCTGCGTTGAAGTTTTTAAATCAAGTGCTGGTTATTATAGAAAGAAAGCTCTTGGAATCTTTTTATAACAACTCCAGAGGAAGAAGAGGCATGGGGATTGTGAAATCTGCCATCAAGTGTTAGATTCAAAGTCCCAGAAATACTTTTGTGCTATACATAACTATTACCAGCCTTTACAGAGAAGGACGAGTTATAGACTGGGCTAGTGACAGATGGAGAAACAGCAAAATTTAAGATGTTGGAGTCAAACTCTTTGGGGGAAGGAACTGCCATCAGTTAAGCATCATCGTTTCCTTCAATTTTTAAATTAGTCTTTATTACAAAGTGATCATTCCCAGGCTGTCTCAAGTTTTTGACATGGGCTTCTATCGACCTTTTTCCTGGGAGTTAGGAGTTTCCACATATCCTTATGTGTTTACATGTGGCCATTCCTGCAACAATCTGGGTTTTGGTTGAAGGATTTTGATGCTTAGTCACTGGAGTATGTCAGTTAATATCTCTTTAAGTTGGGTTTGTGCAACAAATGTTTATTGTCCCTGAAATACATCTGTGTTCCTTGGCACGTCCTACATTACAGATACTCAGATGTACCTAACTGACTAAGGTGCACCCTCCACAAACTTTGAAATGAAACAGCCACATACTAAGGTCAGAAATAAAATTCTTTACACAGATATCATTGTTAAAAATCTATGTATCATAATGCACCCTGAATTATTTTCAACCATTAATTTATGAGTAAGCATGGTAATGGACAATCACAGGGAAATTAATTTTCTTTCCTGAAAGAACGTACAGTTTCATAAGGTTGTCTGTTACTATTTTTTTTTTTGTATTTTTAAGCTCAGCACTACTTTTTGCCCTAGCTTAAATCTAAAAGTAAATGCTACTTTTTGCCATAGGTAGAGAACCATCACAATGAGATGGTGTAACAAGACCCTTAAATCTAAGAGGGGGGAGTTGAGTGGAAGCACAATAATGTTGCAAGAGAGAAATCAAGAAGACAGAATGAGAAAGATTATGAGGTAAAGAATTGTTCTAGGATCCTTAGGTGAAAACAAAACCCAAACCAAAGCCGGTGATGTACCATTAACCAAAAGAGGGACTACAGGGGAAAGGTCAGGTTTAGGAGCTAGAGAGTGAATTTGCTTTGGGATATCTTAACTGACATGGCTATACTGTATGCAGGTGAGCAGTTCAATGCACAGTTGCAAATATGCATGTGAGCGTAGAAAAGGGGACTGATTGGAGATGCAGTTTTAGCAACCGTTGGCTAATGAAAAACAGCAGTGGGCGAGGCCTTTCAGAGAGATTGGGGCGAGAGGGTGGAAAGAAGTTGTCATTGAGGATAGAGGTAGAAGAATATTCAGGAAGGAAGAAGAGAGATTATGGGTGTAGTATGTCCTATAACTCATGTAGGAGAAAGAAAATGAAGGATTAACATGATATCACCAAATCTGGAAACCATAAGTCCCTTCTAACTTCAGAATTTACTCTGTTATGTTAGCAGGACATTTTCATTTAAGTGTGTGTAGACTGGATGGCCTACTTTGAGTTAAATAATGAAATAGTACTCTAAAGAGCCAACTAAACAGAACCAGGTTGTTGTCCCGCTCCTCCTATTCTGTCTTTATGGTTCCTAGCTGATTTCCCCTTAGACTGATAGAATTTAACAGCTCTCAGCTCTCATGTTTTCTGGCTGAATTTGCCTTTCACACATCCTCTGGCTTAGAGGACAATTGTGTTTAGAACTGAGTGTTCTCCTGCTGAGAAGCCTTCTTTCTGGGGTGAAGGGAGTTAAGTAAACCTCATAAGATTAAGAACTTCATCTTTTATCCCTCCAATTGCCTATCCTTCCTTCTGGCTTTTAAACAGACTTCAGGGTAGGACTCTACACAAAAGAAGAACTAAATTAATAGTTGTTGAATGAATAGTATAGAGAGCCAACAGAAAAGCTTATTGCTCTTGCATAGCAGATATGTGTCAATTAGTCTTTGAAAGTAAGACAGAATACTGAACAGATAAATAGTTAACAAAAGGACAGAATAAGGCTAGATCGGCTTACATGAATTTCTGGAGTGTTCTGTGGTTTTTGTCGTGGCTATTCCAGACCATGTCTTGTAGTAGTCGTTAAATGAGATTGTTTTAATTATTCTGAAAATATAAAGAAAAGTCAGACCACATGCAATTGGTAAACTCGTTTTTATAATTATCTTATTACAGTAGGCTGCTCAGATCATGCCTAATAATCAGGCTGATTTGCAAATTCTAATACTTTTTCTCTTTTTCTTTCTTTAAAGATAGTGTTCCATTTTGTGTCCCAGGCAGAACTTGATCTCATTTTGTAGCCCAGGCTGGTCTTGAATTGGAAATCCGCTTGCCTCTGTTTCCCATGTGTGATTACAGGCATGAACCACCATGTCTTGCTTCTAACATGCATTTTTAAGCATCACACATTTAATAAATAAATCAAACACATTAATTTCACCACTGATAAATATACTTTACAGGAAAGAAAATCTGTCCAACTTATCTTTCAATAATAAATATAAATGTACATCATTGTGTATATTTTTAAAACTATAGGTTTTAGGTATTTGCCTTTAATGCTGAATAATTAAAAAGAACTTTATGTGAAACACATTTATAATTCTTTTCATTCTACAAGAAACAATTTTCTTAAAATATATATCAAATTTAGTAAGATTACTTTAATTTTTTTCTTAATAGGGGAATGATCTCAGAATGGGTTTTTACACAGAATCTGGCTATTATCAAAATGGAAAAACCCCATCTCTTTTCTAATTCTCCTGCCTGTATTTTTCCTTCTCTATTAATATTACTACTCCCTATACTATTCTCTATTAATATTACTAGTAGGAAAGCAAAGATTATTGTAAACTAGCAAATGGGAAGGCGAGAGCAGTCTCTTTTTTATTTTATTTATTATTTATTATTTTTATTTTATGTGTATGAGTGTATTGCCTGCATGTATGTGAGTGCACCTGTGTTGTGCAATGCCATGGAGGTCAGAAGAGGGCATCAGATTCCCCTGGAACTGGAGTTAAGAATGGTTCGTAGCTGCCATGTGGGTGCTGGAAATTGAAACCAGGTCCTCTGCAAGAGCAATGCTCTTAACTGCTGCACCATCTCTCCAGCCCTGAGAACACTCTTTTAAATGACTATATTCATTAATATTTTTACCATGGGAAATTCTTGGAGGACATTCACCACTCTATAACTTAAACATTAGAGATAATTTTCAGATGTGAAATCACCAACTAACTGGCTTAAGTAGATGCTTAAACATCATACACAATATGCCTTATTTTGTTTTCCAATTTAGCTTCTTTGTGCTTTGAAAGAAAAAGCAAATTTTCAGTTAAAACAAATTTATTAATATTAATTTTTATGGGCAAATTGTAAAAACCTTAAAGTAAATATTTGACTCAATTCTGAAGTTAATGAGGTAATATTTAAACGGGTCTGTGCAGTCATTTGACTTAAAACAACAATTTCAAACACCTAATTTTAAGACTAACATTTTTCAAATGTGTTACTATTTTTCCAGTCATACTCAAATAGAACTCCGAAAGGGATGAAGATCAATTACTCATCACTGTTATTACTTTCAGAGTGGCCGCCAGGCTTCACACTACAAAATGCTATACTAAACTAACACGAATTTGCCAGTGAAATTCAGCATTTGGCTGTGGCAGTAACAAAATGAAAAGCTGCCTTATATCTCCTGCATGAAAAAGCTTGTGATCAGTTTGCTGTCACAGATCGTTTAGCAGACAACAATGACCCAAGAGGAAGGAAACTGTCAGCACACTGTCTCATGAAAAAAAAATACACCATCTTCAGGCACAATCGTCTTCATTGTCTTTTGTCTGTTTGAGGGTGACCCGTGACCCTCTCCCTTCCCAAGGGTGTCCTGTTCAATTTCAAACTGTTAGCCTTCAGGGTATTTCTTTTCTTTCTTCTAGAATAATTAAAAATATTACCCTAAAAGGTATGACTTTAGTTAGCTTGAATACACAGAGCAGAATATCTTAAATATTTGCAGCTTCAGCTCTGTAAAGAAATAGTCCCTTAAAAGAAGAGAATAGTAACTGTATTTACTATTATTCAGATAGGCAGACTGCGACACTAACAAGGGAAACCAACAATATAAAAATGTATGTGTTTATAACTCCTACTAATACCAAGAATATACTGAATATTATCACTGACATTATGGCAATGGAAAAGAAAAAGGAGGAGATACAATTTTACATTAAATGCTATTATTCTGCTGGGTACACACACACACACACACACACACACACACACAGACAAACAAGTGAATAGAACGACTTTCTCTATTACCATAACAAGAGGTTGCATGGTTTAACATTTGGAGAATATGACACTTTTTTAGCAGTGGCAATAAATGAAAGAATTTGGAGGAGTGATAAAACTTTTGCTTGAAAGTCATCAGAGTCACTAGGAATACATGTCTGGAGAAAGGAAGGATGGATTCTGGACTTGGGGAACAGCCTCAGCCGCATTTGGGGCAGTGGGAGGTGGAGCACAGTATGGTATGTATACGGAGGATGTCAGAGGAAGGGACGGTAGGGATGAGACACTTGAGTCCAGTGGTTTAGAGCAACTGGAGTTTTATCACACAAGTGAAACGAGTGATGCAGGATCTTCACAAGCAGGCAGAATGGAGAGCTATCAGTAATTCTTGAATAGACTAGTCAATGAGGAAACTGAGCAAGGGTTTTCTCAGGGAGTAGTAAACCAGGTGAGTTCTGTAAGGGAGACTAAATGCAGGGCCACTTAGAAAACAGAAAACAAATTCAGTTAGGAAACCAATGCAGTAATTGAGTCCGTGGGCTGACTGAGTTGGGGTGGGGGGAGTAAAGGAGGCGGCAGCAGAGGCGAAACCAGGATAATGCTAAAGAATAGGTCTGACTGGTTACCTAACACATGAAAGGTGGAGGAATGTCGGGGTCAAATACTTTTCTAAAGCCCAGAAGACTAGTTTTTCTATTAATAGAAACCATCAAGTGGAACTGAAGTAAAATATGAGTTTAATTTCAGACATGGCCTTAGGTGATGATATGACAGATAAGCCAAAGTGACCTTTAGGGACCTGACTGAGAAACTTGAAATGGAAAAGAGAGATTTCGGTCAAGTCAACATAAAGGTTGACAGATGAAGCCATTAGGGAAAACAACCTCCAAAACAGTGTTTAGAAAAGAAAGACCAGACACCAACTTAAAAGGAGCCAGTGAGGGAAAAAAAGACAGGCTCATTAACCGGAAGAAGGAAATAACAGGAGTGCCGGTTAATGGAAGCAACGTTCAGCTCAAACTGTCTGGTTGGCACCTTCCCCTCTACCATCAATTAGCTCTTCGCATCATGGTTGAGTGCAGGGTCTGGAATCAGGGGCCTGTGTGACTGAGTGTTGCCTAACCTTTCTACACTTAGAACTTTCTCAAGTGGTGACTGCAAGTGTTTGATGAAATCCTATGTGAGAAGAGCCAAGTTAGCACTTCTTCAGCACCCAGTGTCGCTGGTCTTCTCTGTAGCCTTCCAGGAGTACCTCATCATTCCTCTTTGCTAACTCCAGACAGCCTCCTAATTGCCTTTCTACCCTTCGGCTCTCCCTATTCTAGGGAAGGTGATGCTTCTGCTGGGTAATGAAATCTGTCAGCTAATTCTAGAGGATGAAGTCTAAACACCTTTGACTGAAACCTGAGGCTCTCCACCATCTGGCCATGTGCAGTCTTTCCTCCTGCTAGTCTCTCTCTAGAGATGCCATCACTTGGAATTTCCTGCAGATCTTGAACATCCCATAATACTGCACTTCAGTTTCTGTGCAAGATTTTCTATTTAGAGATTATTTTTCCTTCTATGTGCTACCGCACAACTAATCAAAGTTTGGGTTCAGTAAAAAGATTGTGTGTGGTTTGCCTTGGGTACACCTAGGGCATTGCCACTGCAATACTTTTAGTACCTTTCCCCCATCATGTGGATGCCCAGTTCTAAATGTCAGCCTGACTCATGACTCTGGGCGGCATGCTTATTTCATAGATAACAACCTGTATTACAAAAATTAAATGATCAGGGAGATGGCTTAGTGGATAAGAGCACTTACTTCACAAGCAAGAGGACCTGAGTTTGGTCCTCACCTCAGCACCCATATAAAAGTTGGGTATGATTGTGCAAGTCTGTAACATCATCACTGTGGTGGGGGAAGAGCTTAGAGACAAGAGGATGGGTGGTGCTTGTTAGCCAGCCAGCCTAGTCGCCAAACAATGTCAGACTCTAGGTTCAGTGAGAGACCTTGTCTGAAGGGGATAGGATGAAGGCTGAAAGAGCAGGACACCTAATGTTCTCCTGTAGCCTCAACATGCATGTGCATGGGTGCATACAGAGGCAGGCACACACACACACACACACACACACACACACACACACACGCGCGTCTTGACTGCCTTGACATTCCAGCTCCTTATACTTCTAGATACATTTTAGAGCCAGCTTATAAGGTTCTGGGAGATAAACAACTGACAGTCTTTTTTTTTTTTTTTTTTTTTTTTTTTTTTTAAAATGAGTAGGGAAGGATTAACATTCTAATAACATGGTATTTTTCCTAAGTAACAAACTGAGTATTTTTCTTCTTTGTATTTTTTACATTTTCTTTCAGAAATATTGTGGGTTTTAGTACAGATGACTTGTCTATCTTTTGTTACATTTTGATGCTGCCATAAATGGCATTTAAAACTTTTCATTTTGGTGGCCTGGGGATAAGTAGTTAAGACTCCCAGTGCTGGGGGCTAAATAGTTAAGACTCTCAGCATTGGGGTTACGGGTGTATGCCACCAAAATAAAAAGGTTTAAATGCCATTTATAGCAGCATCAAAATGTAACAAAATATATATAACTTTGTCTCAAAAACATTTTTCATTTCTATTTATTAACTGTGTGTACATAAAAATATAGTTGATTTAAATATCATCTTGTACCTAGAATCTTTGCTAGATTAATTTACTAGTGTTCAAAATTTTTATATTTATTTAAATATAAAAGTTACCTGTGGTTGGTCATGATATAAACATGTTAAATGGAAAATTCCAGAAAAAAATCCATAAGTTTTA